AACTGTTAGGAAAAAGATCATAGGAGTAAGAAAGAACCAGTACCAAAGCCCCATGGACACGCCCCTCACATCTCAGAAAAAATTCAGCTGGGACTATAATCAGAAACTGGAATTTCCACTAACATCTAGGAGTACAGGAAATCAGGCCCTTTCTGATCTGTGATTAAAATTAGCTGGGGGCCCATGGTGTTCTAGAAAAATCCCTACAAAGACTGAATGTATTATCTGAGTACTCTGTTTTACCTGGATAACCTCTAGGATGTGTTTACTGGAAGCAGATTAAGAAGGTGATAAAAAAAAAAAACAAAAAAAAACCAAAGTGAAACAACTTTGACTAGATCCTACTCTTATCTCTGCCCATCTGATCATTCCAGATACTTCAACATAATATCCAAAAAAGGAAGTCAAGGATTGTGGACTTCAAAGAGGTCATGAAATAGGGAGTATAAGGTCATGGTTAAGAAGAGAGAGTCTGGAGTCAGAGAGACTGCTTGAGTTAAAAATCTCAGGTCTGCAACCTTCTACCTAGGTGATTTTGGGCAAGATATTTAATATCCCTGAGTATCAGTTTCCCCATCTTTAAAAAGAGGATAATAATAGTTATCGACCTCATACAGTTATTAGAAGGATTTTGTGGGGGAAAAAAAGCAACTTGAAACATTTATAACATGTAGTAAGTGCTTAATAAATGTAGCTATTATTCATATTGTTTCTCCACAGGGCAAATCTGACAATCTAGAGGGTGTAAAAACAAAATCGGAAACACACCCCAAAATAACAACAAACATCCCCATATCACAATACATTCCCCTAAGATTAAGTTCAAAGGACGTGTCTTTCAGATGTTATAGCCATAAAAAAGGGAACCTCCTATATCAAAGAGCTGATCTTATGGATTCCTCAAGGCCTAAATCTGTCTAGGTGGGTACCCTACACTTTTAAATGCAAATTCTACTTCCTTTTGCAAATGTTTGCTTTCACCCCATGACCTAAGAATGAGTAACAATCAAAGGTAGTCCAACGCCTTTTACTTTACAGGGGCTCAGTCCCTGCTAAATGCTATTACCTTCTGTTGAGCTAGCAGATGTACAGATGTGTTGGCATCAGGTGGAAGGGAGAACCCTAAACAATTTATATATCATTTGTGGTGCCTTTGATGATATAAATAAATTAGCAGAGGCAGAGTTAACATGGTTTGTGTATGACATGGTTTGCTCATGTTTGAGACCTTGAAAATGTACATATGTCTGGTAACTGCACCTAAACATAGCTGCTTTCCTTTCAACCAAACACATATCTTTTATTACCTATGAATACCTTCAAGTCCATGTCAAATAGAACTGAAATTACCAGGGAACTGACCTGTGGATCATTTATCACTATTGTGATAGATGATCAATTTCCTATAAATTATAGGCATGGTTTTCTCCAGGAAATTTTTGCAATTGTAGCAATATAGAGCGTAATGTAGAGATAAAGATTCTAGAGAAATGCAGCTCAGATATTTCAATTTACACTGGAATTTCAACACCAAAAATAAAGATTCTAGAGAAATGCAACGTAGATATTTCAATTTACACTGGAATTTCGACACCAAAAATACAGTAAATACTGAAACTAATTGGATCCTGAAATTTTCAGGGAGAATAGGCTGCCCTCTGCTGGTCATTGGGGAAGTCTCTATGATGGCACTTTAGACAAGGCCTCAAGAAGTTTTCAGAAAGAGTAAGGCTTGGAAGTAAAACAAAAACAAAACCAAAACAACATGGCGACAAACTTAAACTTTGGTGCTATTTTTCATACTATCTCTAGTAATAAGTGGGGACACAAGTAAAGAAAAAGGCCCAGGGAAAGACAGGAATGAGTTAAAAAAAAAGAAATTCATAAGATTCTTTTATCCTGCAGTGCCGTAAATCTAGCTCCTTTTCTACATAACTCTACAAATATTTCACTGTAAGAAAAAAAAGAGAACATATTATAGGAAATACCAGGGAGGCTTAGAGATGTATTGTTAATCCGGCAACAAGAAAGAAGCAAGACCAATTCCTGAATGATACATGGTGTTTTCTTGTTGGTTGAGTGAACACATTTCAGGTCATTTCTCTCAAAATGAGATTAACCTTTGCTCTCATGTCTGAGGCGCATAGCAGCAGCTCCAGGGAAGCTCTGCATAAGACCAGTGGCAAAATAACAAAGGGGGAGTCTTCACTGTACTCGTCTCAAATAAACAGAGCAAAGAATATAAAATCTACAAAGCGGGCTCCCCCAGCGTATCCTAAGCAGGATGGCCTAATGCCTTCACAAATTTTATTTTTCATTCTCTTACTCAAGACAGCCACAGGTCCCTATCTAAGTAGGCCAAGCAGTGACCATCAATAGAGTTTGAACATAAAGGCCAGGCAGCCTTCCTGAAGGTTGGATCTGCCTGCTCGAACTTTCCCCTATCACCTGATAAATAAAAATGGTGCTTGAATGGGTCTGAAAATTGCCAAAATTAGCCACTCCTTTTTTTTCCAGATGAGTTATCATTCAGATGTACTGAGATGAGAGGATCAATGGGAAGTAAATTATTAACATCCATTAGTATACTTCAGTACCACATTAGTTAATTGTTTCCCAGAAAGAATGGGAGACAGGGCAGGAAAGTTTTCATAGGCTGGAAAAAGTAAAACAAAGGGGAGGGGAAGAGGCCTAGATGGAGACCTAGGTAGCCAAGAGTTGTAATTGGAAAAGGACACCGAACATTTTGCCTACTTATCTTTGATCTTTAGTATTTGCCTTCCATTCCCTAATATCAATAGCTCAGTTATTATAAAAATCATCTAGGGAGTTTTTTTAAAATAGAGGTCTAGACCCATCCCAGGCCACTAACTCAGAATTCCTTGGCAGGGGCAGGCGGCAGGTGGCGGGGGGAGGGAGCAGGGAGACAATGTCAAGCAAATAGTGGCTATATTTTAAAGAGTCCCCAGATGATTCTCTCATGCAGCCCTTGTTGAGAATCCCTGCTCCATAGGTCACTTCTCTTCCAGAGTACAATGCCGCTGAGGTAGGTAGCAATAGACCAAAAAGCATACCCTTCTCATTGGGCAACTTGGGACTCAAGAGCTAAAATGGCGAATTATAGGTCAATGGCGCCAGTTGCCAAATATTGGTTTTGCAGGCAAATGAAGGTCAAAGAGAACGCTTGTAAGGCAGGTAATGGCTGGAATCTGTGGTTGTAGGACTGTAAAATACTGTTGTCAGAAGAAGTTTAACTTACAGAATCCCTTTGCTGTTAGGACCATCAGGAGTTGCTTGGTTTATACTTTTATTTCCAGGCACGTAAGGACAGAACATGCAGCCCAGAAACTAGAATCAAAATCAAAACCAAAAAATCCTACCATCTTGAAGTGTTTTATGAAGCTATCTAAAAATCTGTTTAACTTAAAAAAAAATGCTCACAAGTAAAATGCTAAACCAATTGGTAATTTAATCACAATTATTTATTCTAAGAAGCTACAATAGGAGTTCCCAATCTGTCTGTGTCACTACAATTATGTAATCTCACATCCCCATCTGAATTTCTTTCATTTATCAAATCTGTTGGTTACGATTTGTTTCAATGTCAGGTCTACGATGAACTCCATAACTAGAGAGAAAAAAACGGCTTTCAGTTTAAAAATAAATCGCTTGCCAGTTGAAAGTATTGAATTTGAATGTATCACTACAAAGTCATCTTGCAATCAGATTTCTTCTTCCTGGCAGGGCATGTGGTTGGTAGGATCAGAGCATCTCCTCACACCTGGAGGAGAGGCTTTCTGGCCCAAATCATTCAGAAGGTCTCCTGGGGTAAGTCTGGCCCTCTGAAATCAAGTAATAATAGAAACTTTCAGTAAAGGTGCCTAATCTTTCTTTTTAGATTCTGAGGAATCTGCCTTTGTGTGAAAACCTGTATAATTCAGAATTCCTAGAATATACACAAACAATATCAAACCTCACTCACATCTTCCAAATCATCCTTTGAGTATTATAGGATTCATGACTTCCTGTATTTTCTGTTGTCTAGAAATCTGCCAAACTGAAAGCAGCAGCTGCATATTAGTTGCAGGTTTCTTTTTACTTTTCTTTCTTCATTTTCAATAAATGTATACAGAACCAACATACTTAGGGAACTGTGTTGAACACTGGGAATACATAGAAGTATGACATAGTCTTTGTCCTTAGAGGTGCCAGCAATACTCTTGAGAGACAGGTTTATAAGGTTTACATGTTAAGGTTCTAGGCCATTAGTAAGGATACTAGGTACTCAAGGGGTGATCACAGAGATCTGAAGTCCAGTAAGGCTTGTTAGAAGAGAGACTCAAGTTGGCCCTACACGTAACAAACACAGAGGCTGACCCTTCTAGACAGGGGGAAACAATGCTATTAATAAAGCATCTTTCTCTAAAACAACTTGGGAGAAAAAAATCAAACTAAGTTTCATGGGTATTTGGGGTCCTAAAGGAAGAAAACTGACAACCAATGGCATAAAACCAGATGGCTACCAGAAGTTATTGGCTATAAGGTGCAAGGTATAAGATGATATTAAGAATTCATTTACAAAAGCTTTATAGCTCCTAAAAACTCCTGACAAAGGGGGAAATTACCTAAGTGTTAGATATTACTAGATCTACATTTCTATGAATATTAAGATGCTCACATGATGGAGATTCTTAATCCAAAACCCTAAGATGAACCCAGAAACCATCTTTTAGGTACAACACTGACACACTAAGTAATTCTTACTATACTTGGTTTTTCCATAAAATAAAATTAACCCACACTGGGTTCTCCAAAGGCTTCTTCCTAGATTTGTGAGAATAAATAGTTTGAGGTACCAGGCCTATAGAAAGAAGGTAGGTCGATATACTAAATGGTGGGAATGGCATAGATGGAAGGAGTTGAGATCCTTCAGTTTCTAATCTCCACAAAAGATTTAAAAGCTAAAAGCAAAAGAAAATATCACCTTAAGAAAAGAGAAATCAAATTGCCAAGATTTATTTAACTTTTTTCTTTCACAGAAAATACAAGTATGCAATGTAAACACTGGACACGTGAAACAAAGCACGAGGATCAGGAAGACAAATGAATTGGACAATAGCCTTGCTTCAGCACTGTACTGCTTCCTGATTTCATTTGCAGCATGAATCACATGGTTATACATATTGGAAAATTTGAAGGTAAGATTCATGTAGATTTACTGAAACAGAGAGCCTCTGAAATCTAACAATGCCATACAGATGTCTGATCTTCCCTTGCAAAAACAATTAAAGCTGAGCACATGTCCATTTATCCATTTACCCAAGGCATTTAATTTAATGTAGGAGAGTAAGAATGAATTAACACATGAGCTTTAATACGCCTGTGGAGGCAAAGATTAAACTGTGCCTCTTTTGCCTCTTCAGAGAAAATAAAATTAACCAAATTAAAAGCAGAGCTGCCTGACTGGGCCAGAAGACGGCACAATCACAGTGAGTTATTTCAAAAAATTCCATGAAATGTAAAACACAAGAAAGGATTGCCATGGGTGCTCTGCCTGTATGGTCACTCCGGATCTAATGCTGCAGAATCACATGGGGTATTCGAGGTTCTTGCCCAAAATTCCAAGCTAGGAAAAATGACCCAAATAAATGGGTGAGATCAAGAACAACTTTGTTTAAAACAATGTTTCTAAACTTGAATTCGGTGATAAAGACTATGGGCTTCAATTCTCTGTGATTATCCCAAGAGATTAAAATGACCAGTCTTCTTTCTTATCAGATGACACCTACCAGGTGACAGGTAAACTTTGATAATAGATGTTCACTAGACAGTCTGGTTTAGTAATGGGATTTGGTGTCTGGGGTTAAGTATGCTTAAGATCTGGAGATGAGAGAGCCCTGGTATTCCAAAGTACACTCACTCCTTCACTCAGCTCCATAATTGAAGGTTATTACGAATGATTTGTAGTCCTTCATTCCTTGATACTCAACACCTATGGAGAAATAAATACCTCGGATACTTTATCCTCACAGTGAGCAGTCAGCTCTTGATGATCACTGATTCTCTGGAGGAGAAATGCTACACTGACCAGATGTTTTGAAAATCTTTTTCCTAGGCAAAACTAACCTCCCTGGAATGCTGAGATGGAGATTTTTAAATACATTGTATAATATCCCACAAAAAACACCTTTATAACAAAAAACCACTCATTTTTCTATCCCTTACCTATAACATTTGGCATGGTGCAACTGACTGTGCTCTGACTAAAGATAATACATAGAACAGACAAAACCAAAACCAAGTTTTAAAAGGGATAGAACTGATATTCCCAAGGAATCCCTGGATCAATAACTTTTTGTGCTATATTATAGTAAGTTCTTGCTCAGAAGGCTTTTTTAACATGCAAGATGATAAAACAGAACAGCACTGTCTCACTCTGATTAGAAAAAAAGCCATTCATCATGGACCTCCATTACTGAACTATCTCTTATTTACCTCTGCAAAAAGTACAGGGTTTTAACCACAGTAAAGGACTGTACACTATTAATGCAGGTATGACAAGATATTTCACTGAAAATTCTCTATCCTGTAGTCAGATGAAATGTGCCAATATCTAGAAGACAGTAATCAAGTACTGAGAATTAAATGTCAGAAATCTTTAAAGCAGCAAGTAGGATCTTAGTTTACCTTCATTCCCGTTATCATTCTGCACTGTCTAGACCTATTACATCTCCAGTGCTTCAGTCTCAACCCAGATATTCCTTTAGAGGGATCCCAAAAAGGAGACTTTTTATATGGCGACTAGCTATTTCTTCCCTAATCATTTATTTTCTCCTCTCTTGGGATCATTTCCTATTAAAAAGCCCTTCTATTTGAAAAATAAAATATGGAAACTCTGAAAAATTCTGAATCTTCGACCTACTTGCAGATACTAGACACAATTACCCTTAGGGAAATAAGGCACTTATAAAGTGACCTCAGATTGACTACAGAAATGGAACTGATGTTGGATCCTGTGGGGCCACAAAGCAGCATGACTTTCAAACATGAGCACCACTTTCCTGCCACCAGCCACGCTGTACCAAAGAGCACTGCTGTGATGGCCTAACCAACAGACCAGAGGTCCCAAAGAACTCAAGGAAATGCAGATAAAATTCTTCCTGAAAATAGAAAGTTACATTGTCAATCAGGTCTCTGGCTGACCTCATCATTCTTTCAAGTAATGTTTTCATAGTCATGTGAGGAAATACAGAAGAGCACTAGTGAGAAGTTACGTAACCTAGTTCTAGTTCTAGTGCTATTACTTACTGGCTATGTGACCTTGGGCAAGTCACTTTACCTCCCCTCTATAGTCTCAGTTTCTTCATCTGTAAAATGAAGATAAAACCACTTGTTTTGTCTACCTCACATTGTGACTGAGGATCAAATGAGATTACATGAATATGCTTTGTAAACTATGAAATGCTGTATGTAAAGGTAAAGTAATAGTACTTATTACATTTTAATTAGGTCTTTATAATTGCCCATTTGATGAGAAGTGCCCCATGCAGAATGTGCTTTGTAATATACAGACTCAAAAATGGGTGCTATAAATATACACTGGTCTTTTTCACTAGGGTTGTTTAAAAAAGGGAAATTCTCAATTTCTTCAGAATATATTACTTAAAAATGTGATGTCATCCAAATCTACCAACTGATAGAATTAATATTCTCCTTATATGTCTTGTATAATTATAGTCTGATCTGTTGATACCTTTATACAGAGAAGTCTTGAATTCAAGGAACAGCATGCTAAAACATCAACAACAACAACAAACTATATAGTTACAATTTGTTGTAAAGGAAATAAAATGAAGATAAAAGGCATCTTATGCAGTGAAATTATGTCACAGTTCCTCAAATAGTTACCTTTTGCCTGAGATATCTGTAGGACAGGGCCCTAGTCCTGTAAAGTACTTTAAAGAAGCTGTCTTGCTAGACATGAAAAGGACAGGGAGGTTGGTGACTAGGCTGTGCTCATTTTCAGAACTAGGATTTGAACAGGAAGGTCTGCTAGGAGCTGCCAAACAGCTTTGGTGGAGAAGTCCATATGGCCTAAGGGAGGCTTGCTAGTTCTTGATGCCAAGCCAGAGTGTAGAGAACAGCTTAACTCAGCCAACCAGTTCATGGATTTTCAGTTCTTCCTGTGAGTTGGTCTGCTCTCCTCTCGTCTAGTAAATGATTGAACAGCAGAAAAACAGTGAGATGTGGAGAATTATATCTACCGGGACTTTAGAGATGCTGGCAGTGCTCTATGCTCAAAAGTTGTACTCTACTTCAATAGCCTAGCTGCAGAAAGTTTACATGCAGAACAGAGATGTGGGCAAGAAGTGAATGTGATTGGTTTTGACTAGCCGAAAGCACCCAGATTCCAGCACTTGTGTCAGATGGCCTTTATTAGAAATGTTACAAGAGATGACGACATGGAGGAGTCCTGTCAGTGGAATCTCTGGTTAACAGGATGGTTGTCCTTTAGGGCCGCAGGCGTGTTTTGCTAACCTCCACTTTTCTTCCTGATTTGCTTTGCTTTCCGGGGTTTGAGGATGGTATAGTTTGCATACACTGTATACTGATCAGACAGGAAAGGCACGTAAAATGCCCGCAGCAGCTTTGAAGATCTGAAAAGGGAGGGGAAAAAAAGACAGGATTTTATCATTTGAGAGAATTTACTAACAGTACTGAAAATGATTAAAGGAAATAAGCTAAGTGCTACAGTGAGGATTATATTTTATGTAAGCAGCACAGAAAAGTCTGTAGTTTAGCTACTAGATCATTATAAAGGACTTCATCAAAACCAAACACCTTGTTACCCACACCAAAAAGACAGTCTCCCTATCAAGCCACAGTACATACTTCAAAATAGCTCTAGGTCTTCACTTTGCATTAGAATATACCATAAACAAGTTCCAGGCCAATCAAAGGACTGCTATTACTGAAAGAAATTCTTAATACCCAATGGTTTCTGCATCTAAGAAACTAGAGATGCCAAATGCTGAAATGATCCTGAGTCCAACTCTAAATTCTCTTACAAGAAGTAAAGAAATCTATGCTTTAGGCTTCCTGTGAGTAGTGTTTCAGCAATTTGTTAGTCAAAGAGAGTCTTACACACAAGCTCATGTCATGAATGTCCCTGGGAGGTTATTTTTTTATACATACATATATATATACATATAT